ATTGTACCATTAACTTTACACTCCAAGTTTCGTTCTCTCTTTTTTGCTTTTCTCACAGCCGAATGGAACAGATCTGTTTCACTTCGTCCATGGACATCAATCATGGGCTGATTACTTAACGTACATGGAGCAAGATGGCGCATGGGGTGACCATGTTATTCTATGTGCCGCAGCAAACTGCTACAAAACTTGCATTCGTGTGGTCAGCAGTCTTAACGCTACTCACGATGTTATCTTACGGCCACAATGCCCTGTTTACAATGGCAGGACACTTGTTTTGGGACACATCCATGAAGTACACTATGTCAGCCTTCACTCCACACACGGTACAATTCTCTACATTACACCCAGTAAATGAAGTGCGAGTTTATAGTGATATTTTGTGTAATTATCTACATCACCTAAGAGGGAGGGGGTGGCTCTATCGTTCTCTGGTATAAACCGCTGTCAAATGATCACTGCCAATATGACGTCACATAGCAACACTGGACGCGCTTCGCTAACTTTTCTCAGCAGGGCTTGAGGATAGTAGCAAGAGCTAACAAAAAAATGCCATTACAGGCTCGTAGTGGGTTATTATTCACTAATTTTCCGTGAATGTACAAGCTTTGTCATTCATATCGTGACTTTAACAATGTACTTTCTTGTGAAAATGTTTTTTTGTAGTTTCACCAAATACAATTCGGAACGATAGCGGCTTACCTCCACATTTACTTCCGCGCGTGTCAAAACAAACCAAAGCGTTGCCGTTTTTTTCTGTAGGCTTTGAACAAATCGACCTCACTAGAGGAGGTTTTACTCCTTATTTATGTAGGTTTATACCTATTGCTATTTGGAGCGAATCTAATGAGTCACTTTTCTCCTCACTCCTTTTAAGTTTGAAGTTGTCGTTGTGTTACATAGTGGTGAGCCACGATTACATACTTATCTTGTCTTCTAGTGTTGTAAAGACCTCAGTAAGAGCCAAAGATTCTGGCTAATTAGCTTGCTGGCTTCTGTTTATCTTTTTTGCTTGTGGCCCTTTATTTTTAAACGCTCTCGCTACCCCTGTCATTAATTTTTCCAAGCTTGTATTCTAAATTGCTATTATCGCCAGAGTGTTGACTTGTGTGGTGACCCTTTAAAGCAAATGTGGCCAAGCCAAAAAAATCGAACAGTTCGAAATGTGGCAAGAGCCAAAACATCGATTCGGCTCACTTTTTCAAGTCAGGTGGGCCTTACAATGAAACAAACCTTCCTTTGGCTGAACATCGATTTATTTTCGAGGAAATTGGTAATAACTGAATTCCGCCAAAATGCCTCTTTAGAAGCTCGAAATCTCAGACGAACCTCGCGCCACCAATTTACAGTCAAACTAAGTGAAGCGTACCCCTCAAGATTACATTAGTGAATTGATCATTGAACCCGCCAGTCGTTTCAACTGATTATTTGATTATTGAACCCGCTAGCCGTTTCACGAATGCAATAATGGATTGATTATTTGAATATTGAACCCGATAGCCGTATCCGTTTTGAAAAGGCGCGGATCCCTGTTCAAATTAGAAGTCCATTTCGGAAGTCCATAAGACTGTTCTATTTAACGAGGAATCCTGAAAATGATCAAATTGCACTGTAAAAACACCGCGAAAACAGTCGATCGCAAATATTAACGAAATAAAAGAAGTCGTAAACTATTTTTTCGCCCGTAAACTATTTTTTCGACCAGGAATGCACACAAGAATTTCTACAAGTTCGTCAAGATGTAAATAGGCGAAAAAAGCTCTCGATAACATTCTATTTACAACATTTACAAGGAGCTCTACACAACACTCAGACTCACCTCTCCCCCATGTCTGACGCCATGTTGAAATAGTTCCGATCCATGATCACGTGTTCGCATAATCCAATCAGAAATGGACTCCTGATTTGAACAATGATCCGCGCCTTTTCAAAACGAATACGGCTATCGGGTTCAACATTCAAATAATCAATCCATTATTGCATTCTTGAAACGGTTAGGGGGTTCCATGTTCAAATATTCAATTCATTATTGCGCTCCTGAAACGATTAGCGGGTTCAATATTCAAATGACCAAATCATTAATGTAATCCTGAGGGTACGCTTCACTTAGTTTGACTGTAAAACACTTGGACCGATAAAAAGTAACAAATCTTGAAAAACAACATTCAAATTTAGGTTCTTGATTGTTTGTATAAACAATCTAATTTTTATTATTCTGACTACTTATCATCATTATCTATTAAGTTACATGTATCGTCCTGGAAAAGAAAAACTTTTATTCACTATAATCGCTAAAAGTATTTACAAAAATTATGATAAAATGCTTAAAAATCGAAAAAAAATGCGTCAAAATGTGTAGTAAAAATTTAAGAAAAGCTCATGGATTCACACTTCGTTTAATAACAATTCAAGATTATTTACAAGGAATATAATTAATAAAATAAGTGTACGAAAATTCTATAAATAGGATAATCTACTGAAAAATAATGAGTTACTTTTGACGTATTTTTGATCTAGCTAGGAGATGGTCGGATAAATTCAATTAAATTGTGTAAACAAACAGTCAGGAATTGCTCAAATTGCTGTCAACCTATGTTTTGATGCTGTTTTTCAAGATTTGGTACTTTTCATTGGTCCATGTGTTTTCAATTCGTGGCGCGACGCTCCAAGATTCGTCTGAAATTTTGAGGTTCAAAAGCGGCAGTTTTGCGGAACTCAGTTATCATGGACTTTTTCGAAAATAAATCGATATTCAGCCAGACTAAGTATGCAGTGATTTATTTCCCATTGAGACCCACCTAACTTTGAAATTTGGGCGAAATTGATTTTTCAGTAGTTGCCACAAGATGTGTGACCATTGGTAGCATTCGCTTTCAAAATGAATCCTGGTACTTAGAGTTTGAATCCATAGGGAAATTTTGAACAGGTCAGGCGCTGGATGTAACCGGGGCAAGAATACAGCGGTGGAGTGATTTTCCAGTCACCACTTTATCAGTCCAACAACAAAGCAGTAGATGTGGCACAAGATCCAGAAATTCTTACTCAAAGTGAAGGGAGAGGAACTTGAGCAAAATTGAATGAAATTACAGTGAAACATAGCATCGATGTTATTTTTGGCTGTTAACTGGATTGAGCATTTTTAGTGTGAGTGCAACAGAGGAGACAGAAATTTGTCAATGCAAAATGTGTCCTTTGACTTTGTCACGACAGTTCTAGTTTTGTCTGCAAGTGCGGATAGGCCTTAAGTAAGCAAATTAATTTTTTACTCGACATCTTCCGCCGCGTTGCTGACTGTTAAAGGTGCCCTATACTGATTAGCTGTCTGCAAACTTCTAAAGTATAAATTCAAACTCATTCCGTACAATTTGAAACTCATTCAGTATAACTGTGTACTAAATAAGTTTGTTTTTGATAAGTTGTAACACTACAGATTGATGATTGGACAGATTACTCAACTAGTTAAAAGTTAGCTGATTGGCTAACTTTGTACTAGTTAGTTCATTCCAGATTCTTATTTAGCGTTCCAAAAAGGTTTTAGCTTGTGTCATAACTTTTTTCTTTCTAGGTCAAATCCATCGAGACGCAGACGGTGATGACAGCGATGACGAATCGAAAGATCAAAGTGCGCATGAACAGGGCGCACACCAGCCCGATTATGAAGAGCCCGAAGAGAGAGATGAGACTGAACAGGATGAAGAACCGGAGGAAGAACACGAAGACCCATCAGAGCAGAGAGAGGAACCTGAAATACATGAAAAAGAATCTGAAGAAAAACATGAGGCTGTCATGGAGGATGAGCCTGACAAACAAGAAAAAGAAACGGAAAACGACTGCAAAGAGTCTGAAGAGCAAGATGAAGATAACATAGATGAGGAAGCTGGGGAAGACGAAGAGTTTATTAAGAGTAAGGGTATGTTTATCAACCCTCTGCTTTCTCTAAAAAAAAAATTCATAATTATATTAAATTTTCTTTTCTTTTTTTTTATCAATTTGGAGGATTAATGGTGAACAACATCTCCTCATTATTCACTAAACAAATTTTTAGTTTCTAAAATTTTGCTTTGCAACATTCAGCGGTTTATTTGAATCGTGAAAGAACTTTTTGCTCATTGGAAAGTTTTTAAGCGGTTTTCCTTTCCCCAAAGCGACGAGGCGTTCTCGGAAAGCACTTTTGCGAGATTTGCGTTGTACTTCGGTGCCCCAAGTTTATATCACAATCTTGCTATGAATTAGTCTGAACAGAGTGTAGGGGTTTCCTACATGGAACTTCACTGAATTTCTTCTTTTATCCTTGTGTCATGCTATTATGCAACAGATAATCACCAAGCAGACGATAATCTCCCAGCAGCCTCAGGGCGAGAGTCTCCAAGAGCACCGCTGGCCACGTTCGACGATGACAGCGATCTTGATCAGTTTTATGAAGCGCTGGATGGTATAAAAGAAACGAGTGTGTAATCAAAAAAACTGTATTCTCAGATGAGTGCATTCTTTGTGTTGCAAGTTTACTTTAAAATTAAATCGATTAAGTAGTTATCAAGCACCTGCAGTAGTTTTCGTAAATAGCGTCAAAATACAAGCCTGCTGTTTTATGATTCCGTGTCATGCTAAAAATCATAGTTAAATATTCATTTGGCTAAATGTGATGAAAATGGGTCATTTTAGATGATTACTTGCTAGGGATACTCGTTTACGCGTCAGTGTGTTGTTTAGCTTGAGTTTGGGCTATATATGTAGCATTTTGTACATGAACTATTAGAGATCAAAAGCATGTTAATTTCCTGCAGCAGGAGGAAAGCTTTGAACTGTTAAAAGTAATTTTTTTTAGACGTCCATACGCGTCTCAGTTCTTTGCAAAACATTATTTAAGACTATACTTTATTGACGAGAGTGAGCTTTAAAGTAGACAGCCAGTGTTTCCTGACCCTTTTTGAAGGGAATGCCATAAAGTTACTAACTCAAAGACGTCATTCCAAAAGAATGGTGGATACAGTTACCCTTCGCATTAATCTCTCCGGGCTTTTTTTTAATAAATAGTTAATCTTTGAGTAATCTTTTATATATATCTTTCAGATGTAGATTGAATTTCAGTTCAGTTAGTGTCAGGTGCAGAAAAAGTAGCAGTATATGGAGGTGTTTAATATATAGGGTCTGAATTCAGAACAGCAGGCAAACTATAGGCTGCTGGAGAAAAGATTATTTGTCACCCCTGATTTACTTGTCTTTTGTTAAAACTGGTAAGATTTTAAGTAGATGGCTGTGTTGTTTGGCAATGCTAACCAATAAATCGTATTTACACAATCTAACACTAATATCAATACCCTAGTTATGATTTGTTCAATTGAACCTAAACATCTGAGACACTCAGTAGATGGCTGTGTTGTATTGCAATGCTAAGCCATGAATCATAATTATTCTATTTCAAAGTTACCATATATTGCTATCCTACTTATGATTTGTTTAATTCAGTCTTAACATGGTATGATATATTCTGTAGATGGCTGCTGCATAGCAGCCATCTACAGCCATAATTGGCATTTATTGAATTTGAAGTTACCAGTACCATCAATATCTTATCAATTGTAAGCATTCAGTAGCAGGCTGTGTTGTATAGCAACGCTAAGCCATGAATCATATTTATTCAACCCGAAGTTATCTTACCCATGATTTTATCACTACAATGGTAACATCCGATATGTTTAATAGATGGCTGTGTTGTAATGCTTAAAGCCATGAATTATATTTATTCCATCTGAATTTACTAAATGATATCTTACTCATGATTTTTTTTCGTCATATCATGGTAATTTCCACCGTGTTTTATAGATGGTTGTGTAGTTCAACAATGCCAGGCCTTGAGTAGTATTCATCTAATTTCAAGTTGCTATTGATATCCTACTCATGATTTGCTAAAAAAAAAACAATGCTAGATCTTAAGTAATTAGTAGATGGCTGCATTATTTAACAATGTTATATGCCATAAATTTTATTTACCCTACTGCACGCATGTACCAAGTACTCAGGTCAGATGATGCATGTGTATCTGGCTCACTTATTTATTCATTTAAATTTTTTTCCCTTTCTACTCATAAGTAAATTTTGCAGAGGCTTGTACAAATTGAAAGAAAAAAGGTGTTGCTGAAGTAATACAGAAAGACAGGAAGATGAACATCAACTGAGTGATATGTATCTGTCAAATCTGTGTTGGTAAACTGTCGACTATCCAGTGAAGTCACTGTATATTGTCAAGCATGTCTGCCTAAATAAACATAAATAAAAAATAAAAAATTGCAGTTTATTGTAGATAATTATCCATTAACCCAATGACCCCCAAGAATGACTAGCATCAACTTTCTTCCCACAATCACCCCTGAATCAAACAGTAAGGTTACTAGAATAAAGGAATTACTCAGCAAATTAAGAAGCTCTAAACTGTTTACAAATTCTCCTTGTCACATCCCTAAAAAAATGTACAAGACAGTATTGAGAAAATACATACTGATATTAGAAGTACCTCTACCAGTTTAGAGGTCGTGAGGGAATTTTTTTTTAATGAAAACTTCCAGTGCGTCAACAAACTGCCATCATAATCCCAAACTTTCTTATTTGCTCTGATCACCCGACTCAAACCCAGGATATAATTGTAATCATGATGAAGTAGTATTTTGGTGGACTGCACAGAGCTGATGGTGAATGAAGAAATGTTACAGTCTGATTGAGTTCTATTTACCTGAGAGTGAATTCCTGGGTGGGAGGATAAAAGAAAACATTTGACTTGCTTTGACCCAGATAAAAAATCCACAGTTTGCAAGTAACCAATCAGAAGTGTGATCTAACATCCTCCCAATCCTTTGATATCCAGTCTTTGTCCTGACGTGCTATAATTAAGAGATTATAAACTGTTTCATATTCACTTGAATTTCTTATTTGCTGCAGTCACTCGTGAAATATTGAGTAGAACAGGAGAAATGAACAGATCGTATCTTCAAGCAACTATGGATTATTTTTTTTTATCACATAAACACCATAGACCTTCATTGACAACAAAATTCTGCAAATGGACTCTGATTGAGTATGGTGAATGCATTTCCTTTCATTCATCAACCTGACAGAGTGGTGTGAAAGGCGAGTGACGAGTCAGCAGCTGATTGGAGATATCAAACACACATAAAAATTCTTGTACTTTTGCGTCTCTTTTAAGGGCTGGAAATCTTTGCAAAACACCACACTTTTTACAACGAATAATGTTACTGTAAGATGAATTGGAAATAAGTTTTACGACTGAAAGACCTAGTACAAAACTTATTATCGGAGTGTAACTAGTGTTAACCAGTTGCTATGCAATTGCTTAACTCTTTCCACCCTAACCTGACATCAGAATACATGTTCTCTTTACTGTTCTCTATACATTTCCTATGGTGCTGACAGGGAGAATTTGGGTAACAATCAAGAGCTTCTTGAGTTGGTGATCATTCCCTTTATTATCCTTACCTTGCTATGTGATTCAGGCGTGCTATTGTAAGGAGAAATTAGATACTGGTCACTTTTAAAGTTTAGAGGGTTCATGTTTGCCGAGGAGTGGAGTTCTAAAATTTTCGCTAAATTTTGATTTAGAAAAGTAAGTTAGTTATAAAAACTTCCAAAAAAGGATTGAAAAAGAACTTCAAAGAGCAACTCGAAAAAAGTGTGCAAGTCCAAAAAAATATCATACAAGCACTTTAACACAATTTGAAACACATACCTGAAAAATATGGCTTGCCGCGGTGACAGAGCGATGTTCTTGAGGACGACAAGAAATGTAATGACTGAGTTTACACAAAGCAAGATCTTTCTCAGCTTCTGAGGCATTCTCAAAAGAATGTGAGCCATCTTTACCAAACAGCCTTCAACGGGGCGAGTTTGCTGGGAAAAAGTAGAAATCATTCAAACAGTGCAAGATAATATGTTTGGGAAAACCATCTTCAACTCTGATTCCTCCAACAAATGAGGCAAACGTTTAAAACTTCAAAGCGACAGTGACATTTTTAGGCTTTCTATGTGTCCGTCTCCAGGTGATGAGATCTGTTAAACAGTTTTTTCGGTATAAAGGTAATACTCTTGTCAAGTAATTTTCTTTCCATGTGCACTCGTCACCTTTTCCGCACGGTTTGTTGGCTGTGACTAAAACGGAGACGGGGACGTGGCGACGTGGGACGTGGGGACGTGGGATGCGGGGACGTGGGACGCGGGACGCGGGGACGTGGGACGCGGGGACGTGGGATGCGGGGACGTGGGACGTGGGGACGTGGGTCGCGGGGATGTGATGAACAAACAACACCTGATTTTTGCGCTGAATTGTAAGAGTATAATTTTTGGTGGTCTCGGGAACAGCAAACAAAATGTCTGTAGTATCACGGTCAGGTCTCCTTAATTCTTAACTGCTTCGCGTTTCTGGTTGTTGTGTTCGGTGGAAATGTATACAACGCAGTACACAATGTTTCGACACATTTGCCACTCGTTTATGAGTGTAGGAGAACTAACAATTGTGATAAAACGAGTTTGGACGATGACAGACTATAGGCATTAAACAGATCGACCATCTTCCGCCATTTTGGAATTTAGGAGGTGAGTGTATTATTATATCGCAATTTTGTATCGTTAGGTTGTTATCGTTAGCTTCAATTCATGATTTCCAGTGAATTTAAGAGAGGCTCAGTAAGGGGGGTCAGTAGGGGGTCAGTAGGGGGTCAGTGTTTTGTCCTAGCCCCAAAAATCAGGTGTTTGTTCATCTCATCCCCGCGTCCCAGTCCCACTTTCAGTCACAGCCTTATTTTTGTGCATTTCCTCTTAAGAATTTGATTCACATTGTTACTACAGATACATGAACAAAAATGTTTTTACTTTGAAACAGGATTTTTTATCACTGAATAAAGTCACTATTAATTTCTCTAGAGAGCATGGAAAAGAAGGTTATGGAAGTTCTTACAAATGAAAGAAATGCATTTGGAAGTAGGAAAGAGCAGTCATGAAGACTTGTATGACCAGAACATTTAACTTTCTTGAGTAAATATCTGCTGTGCTCACTTGCTTTTGAAAAGTCTTAACTTTTACAGAAACCCATTATTATTTACTTAATATTTGTGTAACATTATCGAGCGAGTAAGAAATGGAGTGGACAAAAGGCTGAGGAAGGAACACGCAGGCTATAGAAAGGAGAAGGCAACAACAGATCAGATCTTCATCATGCGGAACATAATTGAATTGGTCAACGAATGGCAGGCAACACTGTACTTGAACTTTGTAGACTTTGAAAAAGTTTTTGACTCTATCCACCGAGAAAGTCTGTCGGTAATAATGGCCCAGTATGGAATCCTGGAGAAGATCATGAAAATTGTAAGAGCATTTTATGACGACTTCAAGTGTGCTGTAGAAGACTAGGGGGAAACATGTGAGTGGTTTGACATTAAAACTGGTGTAAAACAAGGATGTAATATGTCAGAACTTTTGTTCTTGATTGTTATGGATTGGGTAATGCGAAGAGCAGTTGGTAGTGGCGAAAATGGTATTAGATGGAAGTTTACATCAAAACTGGATGATCTGGACTTTGCGGACGATATAGTCCTGCTCTCATCTACCAAGCAGCAGATTCAGGATAAAACAACCAGGCTGGATGAAGAGGCCAGACGGGTGGGACTCAAAGTCAACAAAGAAAAGACAAAAGCGATGAGGATCAATGCAAAGAACCAAGAAAAGATCATAATCAATGGACAGGATAACAACAACAACAACAACATTTACTTTATTTTTTTTTTAAATTAAAGAAATAAAGGCTTTTGTAGCCCGCGGTTAGCAAAGCTATTCTAGGCGGGCTACCTAAACAGACACTGTATAGGCTCTCACTCATACACACACCCACACACACGCGCACACACACACACACGCAACAATGAAATAAATAAATAAATGAGCAAATAAAAATAAATAGTAAATAATAGTAGTGACAATCATGTTAAAGGTTTTAACTGGGCCAGTTACACAAGGGAGTTTTTAACAGGTCAAAGAGAAAGCTAATCAGTTGAAATACAAATATAAGCTAGAAAGGTCAAGGTAGCTCAAGTCAACATTCATCTCCTTAATTTCAAGAATTTTCAAAAGCAAGTGAGTTAGCTAACGTTTAAAAGGTGCTTTCCTTGGCTTACGAATTTCAGGGGGGGATGCCATTCCATATTTTCGTACCAACTCTAGAAAAGGAAAACAACTGATGATTTGTTCTCGCCTGTTTTATATAAAAGCTTCCAGCTACTGAGAAACGAGTAGAGTATGAATGAACAGTTCAGAAATATTGGGAGGAGCACAGCGATTTTTGATGTCATGTAACAGAGAGGCAACCAGTTTGAAGTAAAGCATTTTTATCGGTAGAATTCCCGAACTACTAAAAGGAGGAGCACTGTGAGATGTGTAATCGGAAAAGTACATTAGACGAAGAACCCGCTTTTGTAAAATGAGGATTTTCTTTAGATGAGTATTCGCGGCTTGGCCCCAAGCAACGAGACCATAGGAAATAGACGGTTCAATGAGCGAGCGGTAAATGTTTATGAGAGTAGTGAGCGGTACCAAGTGTCTTAGCCTTGCAACAATACCGATACCTTTGCTTATTTTCGTGGAAATGTAGTTAATATGATGCTTCCAGGAGAGATTACCGTCAATGAGAACACCTAGGTATTTAACATATGTCTTACGTTCAAGAGATACCAATTGCTCCGAGTTATTATCAAGTATTTTAAGGTTTACTTCTCGGTATAGTTTGTGTTGATAAGGATGAAAAATAACGAAATTAGATTTGGATACGTTAAGAGATAATTTATTTGAATTCAGCCATTCACACAACTTTAATATCTCTTCATTGACGACAACTTCAAGTTTCTTTAGATCTTTTTCTGCATATAGTAAATTGGTATCATCAGCAAATAGGTAAAAGTCAAACTTTTTAGAGGAACGATGCATGTCATTGACATAAATTAAGAAAAGAAGCGGACCAAGTATAGAACCTTGAGGGACTCCACACACTATTCTCTCTTTGCTAGAGACAATAGAACCGATTTGGGTTGATTGCATCCTGACAGACAAGTATGACGAGAACCAGTCATTAATCAATCCTCTAATTCCATAATGGTGTAATTTATGCAACAAAATCGAATGATCAACCGTGTCGAAGGCCTTTTTCAAGTCAATGAAAATGCCACAGGAATATAATTTTTTATCAATGTTGTTTTGAATTGTATTTAGAATATCCAGAATTGCATGTTGAGTTGAGCAGTTCTCTCTAAATCCATATTGCGATGTGAAAAATATATCATTCTTGTACATAAAAGATTTTAGGCGTTTGTACATTAGTTTTTCGAATATTCGATCAAGCACGGACAGTAACGATATTGGGCGATAATTGTTTGGGTCAGTTTCATCGTCCGCTTTATAAATTGGAATTACTATAGCGTGCTTTAATTTGTGGGGATAGAAACCAGTTGAAATGGACATGTTCATTAGTTCAGCTAGGTTATGAGATATAGCTTGACGTGCGGACCTCAAAAGACGAACTGGACATGAACAAAGTCCGTAGGCTTTTTTTGATGGAGTACTCAAAATTTCCATTTCAATTTCAGTAGAAGTAACAGCGTCAAAGAAAGAATTGGTGTAATTTGAATTCCCTAGGTAATCCTTAAAGTCCCTGGTGGATGATGGTATGCTATTTGCAAGTTTAGGTCCGACAGATGCGAAATAATTCAATGAATTAACTATTTCTGATTGGTTTTGTGTTGTACCCCGGTTGTCTGGAAGCTTGAGCGATGATACGAGCTTAGTCTTTTTGTGCTTATTAATTAAAGTGTTAATCCCCTCCCAAGTTTTTTTCATATTATTTAGGTTTCTACTAAAATAGGATTGATAGTAAAGTCCTTTACTTTGGCGAGTAAGGCTTAAAATTGTGTTCCTGTACAGCTTCTATGTATAGCCATGTGACCAGAGTAAAAGAGATCGTTCTTTATTTTTCTTGATCTACGCAAACCTCTAGTCATCCACGGTTTAGATAGTTGCTTGGCTTTGCGTTTTGATACAGTTTTGAGAGGAGCATGTCTATTAACAAGTTTATTCAATTTGTTGTAGAACAAAAAAAACGTTTATCAATAGAGCCATTAGAGATCAAACCGGTCCAGTCAGTTTGAGAAATATCACTAATAAAGTTTTCTTCCGAAAATCTCGAATAGTCACGGACTTTAGTCCCCTGATAACGAGATTTTAAAGATGGAGAATGGATGATGCAAAATTGAGAGTAGTGGTCACTTATATCTGAGACAATTTTGCTGCTAGAGAGTTTAAAGCCAATTCTGTTAACAAGAATATTGTCAATAGGTGTGGCAGAATTATTATGGACTCTTGTAGGCTTGTCAATTACTGGAAAAAAGGAGTAACTTTGCAGGGACAGCAGAAAGTTATGAGAAAAATCACAGGTTTCAGATTTGAGGAGATCAATGTTGAAGTCGCCCATGACATATATCGGTTTATTAGTAGAGCTTAGTCTTTCTATTGTCATATCGAAATACGTTTGAAATTGTTCAGGAGAAGTATGTTGCCGATAGATTACACCACATATAACATTTTTACCTTTTAAAAATTCGAGTTCAATCCATAAGGCCTGGAAAGCCTCGTTAGA